AAATTCGAAATCATTTCGTAACACAAAATATTGCATTAAATTCATGAGAAATATTTTTAATATAAAATTATTCTGACAGTTAAATGATATATAATTTTGTTTACGAAGAAATTTTATAACGGATATGACTTAATCTATCTGGCCACCAGATTATAACTTGATCGCAAAATTACCTGTTGTTTACCTTAAATCTTTTAAGAATATTAGTCGGCTTCATCTTAAGGAAATCACAGTTCCTCCCAAGAGAATTAGTCGGATCCATCATGAGAAATTGCCGTTCCCATCAAATATTAAGATCGTAATTCACTTTGACCTTGACTTCCAACGGATATATAAAGCCACGTCTTAGTGGGAATTCAGTATTCATATTCTCACCCACTCCAGTTGTGTGTTGCTTTCATATTCATATTCGCTTCCCCATCTCTTGTTTGTATCATTAACTATCTGTCCAACCCAACAAACCACATCAGCAAGCGTGGTCTCTCACTAATCAAAATCAAAGTGTCTGGAACAAGTATTCTGGACCGGGACCCGAATCCAGAATCCAAGCCAACTCATCCGATCCTGTACGATCAACTCCCATCTCAAAGAAACACAACTAACCCTGTAATGTCAACCCAAGAAAATCTCTCCAAAAAGGAAACCTTCACCAACAAATTCGATTGTGCCACATAACAACAAAGCTCTCCCAAACAATTCAAATCAAATAAACCCATTCACAACATTCCTGAAGTTTTCAACGGACTTATATTTCTTTACAATGACTAAAATATATTCTTTTTCCTCGCTGTTATTATTTGGTGCAAATCACAAAATGTTCGAAGAATATTCTGAATCTCAAGAATGGATCGTATGAATCCATGCGTTTAATGTAGCATTGTTGAACGACAACATTTTTAAATGTGCTATTTTTAATCGTCTGAATTTTTGAAGCGATGATATAATTGCTTGAAAAAGAAATTTTTCGAACATTTCTTTTCAATATTACTTCTAAACAAACTATTGATGAATTCTACTATCAAATATCAGCAATAATGCATTATTTAAATTATGTAACAATTTCTCAGTCACTGCAGAATGCCAAAAGCCGTAAAAGTAACATAATTGCTTGTGTCTTGCATTAGTAACATAACTGCTTGTTAGATATGGCTTAGCAACAACGTTACTTAGATCAGCGATCATAGATTAAATCACTAATATTTTTAAATTTGCATCAGCAGCTGCACACATATGAATATTTATCAGCATTTCAGTGACTGAAATTGATAAGTGAAGAATTTTGTGTAATGGAAAATTCCCATTTATTGAAATGACAAATTTCGCCACTTTTTCTGTACCGTTAATGGATTGAATTCATTAAAGGAAAAAAGCTTAACATTGTTCATGTGCGGAAATAAAGCAAAATGGATGAGAATGAAGAAAATATATAAATGTTTGAATATATAAATGTTTGGATGTGAAAAGGTTTGTGTAACAAAGGAGCATATGATCATTTCAATAATATTAAATTGTAGCAGTATTGGCACATGTGAGCAATATTAACACCGGTTGATTTCCCAGTTATCCAGATTGTTGGGAAATAGTGGTTCCATTAAATTTACGCTAAAAATACTTCAAAATTTAATCTCGACATTGGAATGATGCGTTTCTCGTCATTTGGAAATTGGAACAGTTGCTGTATGTATTCATGAAATATTAATAGTTCGTTAAAATTTTTATACTTTGAAAAAGGTTTTTTTTAGTAAAATTGTTTATTTTGGAAAGTTTTTTTATAATATTTTATTTCAGTTTTTAGAGAATTTGATAGAGATGAGTGAGAAATGTGCTCTAAAAATGAAAAACATTAATTGGTGGTAATGTTTATTTCCAAAATAATCTCGAAATTTTGATATATAAATAAAATTGAAATCAAATATTTTCAAGTACTTTTTTTTGAAGAAGAAAATATTACAGGGCGAGCATTATCATATTTGGGCGATCACAATCGCATACCACGGTAAGCTTCGTTTTTTTCATGAATGATAATTTTATTCATAACTCTTACTTGTCGTTGCTGCAGTAGTTTATTTTGAAATCATTTCCTCCAGTTTTTCATATTTCCTATTTATTGCAGAAAAAGTATTATCAGCTTACAGCACTCTTTTTATGTTACGCCGTCAAATGAAGGTATATTTTTATTTAATGAACTCTGGATAAGAGATGATATTTTAAATATTAGTATAAGAAATAAATAAATTTAAAAACAATTTAGCTGCATAATACTTTTCGCATTTGCAGATATCTTATCAGGAAAATGGTATCCGAAACAGATCACCGATTTGGATTACATTTGTAACAAAGTCATCACGTACGATTCAACCACTTCTTGGACACTGGATGCGGATCATCCCGTAAGTTTAACAATTTGAACATGTATTAATTTGGCTAAGACTAATTATATCATTTAATTGGCCTGAATAGTAACTTTATCTTATGATTGAAATTTTTTTACTTCTAAACATTTTCTCTTCGAAAATTTCATATAAATTTTCATAGAATCTGCTATAAAGTTACGCGTAGTTGTATTGCCTGATAATATTGTAATGATAACTTTGCAGAGCTTTAAAGACAAGGAATACCGGAAGAGACGAGAATGGTTCTTGGATATTGCAAATGATTATAAACAGTAAGTTACATCGATCAATAATTGTTCTTAAAATTATTTTTGGAATTTACTTTTATACAAGAATCGGATTTATATCACGAATACATTTATGTAAATTCCAACAATAGCGTAGAAAAATTGTCTTTTTGAAGAAAAAACTCATTTTGTTCATTTTTTGCTGTAACGAATTAATATTCTAACAACAAAACTGTCCATTCTTAGTGTTTTCTATTCAACGGATTTTCAAAGGCCGATATACTGATAAGTTCAAATATTGATTTAATAAAGTCCATTTTAATAGTGGTACACCAATACCGCGAATAAACTACACAAAAGCAGAAACAGAAACATGGTATGTGCCTTAATATTAATTAACCTATGTTTTTTTAGAAAGAGATCATTTATTTAGAATTCTGGTAAACATTAATACTATCGAAACTTTAATATGCTTTTGTCTACCACGCTAGCTAGTTCTAATATCATCCAACTAACTGGTTTACTAACTAATTCAGTAGTAAATGAAATTTGACACTTCATTAAGATTTCTCAGGGGTACAATTTATCGTGATTTGAAAGCATTGCATAGCAAAGTTGCATGCAGAGAATTTTTGGATAATTTCAAATTGCTTGAAGAATGGTGTGGCTATTCAGATAACCAAATTCCACAACTGGAAGATATTTCGAAATATCTCCAAAGTATATTTTTAAAGATTTCTTTTTCGAAACTCTTTTATAACTTTTCTGATTGAAACAATAACACCGTATTTTCATAGCTAAAAAGCGCATCATAACTAGGAGGATGGCAAAATATAATTTATAGAATTTTGACAGTTATTTCTGACTCATTGAAATGAAATCAAATGTCGATAAGGAATCCATCGTTCATCACGATGGAAAAAACATATCTTCCAATAATTTCTACTAACAAATTACATTTTCGGCTCCTGAGCCAAATTGTCAACTAAATTTTATTTTCTTTTTTTGTCAACTCCTGTCCGTGCTGTTCCACAGCACATATGAGGAACATCCAGCATTGATAAACTACTGAGTTTGGATATTGCGAATCGAAAATTGGCCAGCATTGAAGTGACATCAATGCAAGTCTCCGGCACTTTATTATGAGGCCGATCGTTTTTACAAGAAACTTAAATAGTGCTCAAATCGTCACCCATCCAACTTTACCAATCGATATGGTTACATCCGGAAGAAAAGGCTTCTTGTCAGATAACCCGGATGCGGTGCTCCCTCAACTTCTTCAATTAGGTTCTATCATTTCACGCCCAATTTTCAGGCAAGACTGGCTTCATCCTTCGTCCATGCGGTGGTTATTTGACTCCTCGAAATTTTCTGGCTGCACTGGCATTTCGTGTTTTCTGTTGTACGCAGTATATACGCCACTACACTGATCCACATTATACGCCTGAACCGTAAGCTTTATTGCTTTACTTGAAGCTTTGCTTGAACGTTATGCCTAACGAAAAAGAGACTCAGAAGAATAGGTAGGTATTTCCGTGAAAATATAAAATTATCTTTGAAAATGAGAATCTCTGAATGATTTATTTAGGGATTTATGCCATGAAATGCTCGGACATATGGCAATGTTTCTGGATCCAACATACGCCCAACTAAGTCAGGAAATTGGAATTGCAAGTCTCGGTTCCTCCGACAAAGACTGTAATGCCTTAATACGGGTTTGTTCTATTGCATACTGTAATTTTAAGATTTTCATTTCTTTTAATAGTCAGTTTTTTTTTGGAATCATAAGAATTAGTTAGAAAAATCTATTTCAGCTTTATTTCTTCACATTTGAATTTGGTTTATTGGTTGATGGTGAAAAACTCGATGAAAAGAAACGGAATTTGAAAGTTTACGGTGCGGGATTGCTGTCATGTTTCGATGAGCTTAAGGTATAGCTTAAGGTATAACTTAAGGTATAATGAGCTTAAGGTAGAAAGATTTGTTTTTTTAATGCTAATCTTTCAATAATACAGATGCGTATGCATAGTCAGAAAAATTTTTTTCAGTTCTGTGTATCACCTGAGGCTAAAATTTATCGATTCGAACCGGCTGATGTGCTTAAAATGGAACCTGAAGTTACAAAATTCCAAAGAGGCTATTTTTATTCGACGAGTATTTTTGAAGCGTTTCATAAAATAAAGTAATGATTAAAATTTGTCATTGAAAAACCATTATAAATTTTTAAATTTAAGTGTGAAGAAATAAGTGCTGCACAATAAAAATCAATGGCATTAGAAGTTTTATAAATTTTGAATAATTTTGACATTATTTTCCACTTTTAACAAATGTTTTAAAAATTGATGATCAGGTAAATACAGTTAAAAAAAAATATTTTCAATCATTTGTTACAGCATTCTAATAGATTTTAATAATTCATAAAATTCGTTACGAAATGACTATGCATTTCAGTATCCCCAGGAAGTTTCATTGTCAAATTTGCTTTCAGATCTTACATTTTGATGATAAAAGGCCGTTTTCACTCCACTATGATCGACTCACTCAATCAATAGAAAAAAAGCTGACGTTGATGCACCGATGAAATGAAAACTCAGATATGCGTATCATGCAACATAACTAACCTTCACTCTCATTTCTTAAATCAAATGATCTTTTCTCAAATCTCAGCAAGTAATATTTTATTAGGTGAAATTATAACATTAACCCAGTCATGTTTTTATTACTGTAATTTCATTATGTTAATTTTGCTGTCCTTCATATCTGTAAATTTGACCATTTTATAGCATTATATAAAGGTTCAGTTTGTGAATACAAAAGATAGAAAATTGATCATCAGTGCTTCAAATCTGATAATGAATTGTAATCATATGTTATGGACTATCAAAAAATTATCTCAGTTGAAAGTTTAACAGTTAATTGCAATTACTTATTTATAGACTAAGTTTGGAGTTATTTCCGCCGAAAAATAATTTCTATGATAATTGTTAAGTAATAGCTTGTATTACATATTTTCGATCATAAACGATTTTCTATTTTAGCTTGCTAGCGACTTATAATTAAATTCTTTCGTCATTTGATTTTTCCACAATGTTAAATGCGATCGTTTAGTTGTTGTAGTGGTTCATTTCATATAACTTTTCTATAAATTGCACTAACCTCAACAAAAGTAGTTTGTTATTTGTTTTGTGTTGTATAAAAGATATATGATAGTTATATTATTTGATTCATTTCATAGATATCACATCCTTCTGTTCGGCTGCTTTCACATCAATTCATTTAACGAAAAATCAACAATGATAAAATCAACCCTAAGCGCACAAGCTCACGATGAAGTACAATTAACCGATAATAATGTTAAATCAGGTTGCACAAATTGTGTTTTAATAAAATGAAATATATGAAGAGAGAAAATTGATTTGCATCTTCTGTCAGTGCTATCAAGTCTTAGCTACAATTTTTGTTAGCAATGATTTTAATAATCTCTATAATGCTGCACTTAATAATACTTGAAGTCAACAATCTAAAATGAGCTCTGTCTGTTTCTTTGCAGTACGTTTCTGTTCCTTTCACATACCGATTTTCTCTTTAACCGTAAACGGAAATCTCCACAAATTATATCTCCGACTAATAATTAAGACATCAGTAGTTTATGTGTCCTCAAAATTGCGTTTATTGCTTCCTCACATTTGGTATCGAAAGATTTAGCGTTATTTCAAGAAATGGCAACACTGAGCAGTTGTTCACTCTTCAAAAGTTCAATTTCAATTTCATCTCTTCCAAACAGTTAATTATTATTTTTCCGTGGCGAAATTGAATTCAAATTTTAATTATTTAATAGGATTGAGGGGATTAATTATTCTTTCTAGGAACAAATTTTCCTGTTGCGACGACGGATTTGCAAATAATTGATGCAGCGTATGATTTTTGTCAATGGTTGAAAGCACGGAATTTGTTCTTCAGAAAATCTCAGGCGGAAGGAATTGAAGATCAAAAATGTGTGCAGAGTGGTTTGTTCTCATATATTTCATTTTAATATTCTTTATTTGAACACAAATTAAATTTAATGGAAGGTTGTGAAAAATTAGTACTGGAAGTTTCCATTCCATCATTTCCCACATTTTGTTTTAATTCGTTCACTGATTTTTAGTCTTTTTTTAATATATGTATTTCAAATTGTTGGTTTTGCGTTAAATTACTCTGAAAGGCAAACAGATGATGTATAAATTATTTGCATCATTTAAATAAATACCTTCCTCTTTCAAGGAGAATTGATGGCAAATTTGGAATGTCAAAATACAGATGCAATAAGACTTGATATCGATGAACTTGTTAAAGGATGGTAATAATTTATAACATAATTCATATATTTATAACAATAATTCATAACAAACTGAAGCTGAAGTTTGCGAATAATTGCAGAATTATTTTACGAATATTTTACGGAAAAAATGGAAAAAGCATACAATAATTTCTGCTTTATCATGAACGACATTTCATTATAAGGTCATAGCTCATTAACTTGTAAAACTTTGCATTTGATTAGCATTAAAATTAAACTCTTCTCAAGTTATCCTTTATAGTGTATATCCAGTGTATTCAAAATCAGGTCGGCGTTATATCGTTAAAGTTTCTCCTGGAGGAGGTTTGGAAGCATCACTACTTCTTCAGGTTAACTCCTTTCAATTTCAAATTTTCAAAAAAAAGATGAAGTTTGCAGTTAAACAGATTTCCTCGATATTTTTACCAAAGAATTATTATTACAGGCTAAGAAGCTAAAAGAAAGTAACACAGAGGAAGATGTGTGCTTACCAATTCTTCTTGATTATTACTATCATCATATGGTAAGAGATAATTACATTTTCCATTATGCATGCATAATTTTTTTCTGTTACCAAAATTTTGTCACATATGGATAGAGAACTTTATTGATATGATCTATTTGTTAATTAATGAGTAAAGTCAGGTCATAGGATCATGCATAGTTAAAACCCAATTATAAACCTACCATTTCCTAAAAAATAAATAACCACCTGGCTAGATAGTTCAAAACGAATAACTATGGACAACAAAGAACCACCAAGATCGGCCAATAACTTAAAATAATATAATAAGTACTAATAACCTTACAACTAACAATATTAACAGTATTCCGTAACATTACCAAAACTCATCTCGCAAAATAATATTCATATTAAATAACGAAAATAAACCGAAAAAAATCATTCATCATAAAACTAAAGGTAAACAAATCACTCTCGATTATCACAACATAATTTTACTGGCTGCTTAACAAAAACCTGACTAAAACATAAGCACAATAATAAAAAGAAACCAAATAATATAAAAAGGAAAAAAATCCCGATATGACAAAGAGCCTACATCAATTAACATTAAATACTCAGAAAAAAAAAGGAAACAGGAAAACTAAAATTATATAACATAATCAAACAAATCAACACATCAACATTAAAGATAATAAATCAAACGATTATTAACAATATGATAAAATTCCCCGATGAAATAAAATATCAAAAAAGTATACCCATGCGCGCACATTATATCGTCATCACACTCAACTCAGACAAAGCCCATAAAGAAATAGAGGAACAAGCACATGACTTTACAATCACTCTGAACCATGCAAATAAACCTAACGAAAGAAATGAAAATCAAAAATCCAAAACTAAAAAATCTCAAAGACTTGCTTATACGATAAACATAGCCATCAAGCTTCAACATAATATTGGCCAAAATCATACTAGTCTAGTCGGGGTCTCAACATGAGCTTTAGGCAATCAAACATCTGAATAAAATCACGGGAAATTTAACTAACAAACACGAACTAAGCAAAAAACAAATTCATAAAAAAAATCATAAACAAAACACGACTTTTCAAAAACAAATAAGGCATACTAAAAAGCAAAATATAAACAATCAAATAATAACAAGCATTAATCTTCTCAACCTGCCGCCCTATCCTAGCATAGAGCATCAGAAATCTACCGGAATAAAAAAAAAAACAATAGTGAAAAAAACAAGACAACTGTAAAAAACCAAACCACATTACAACTGAGAAACACAAATAAACCCCAAATAAAAACATTTATAAAAGACAAAAAAACAAATTTAAAAGAATCAAAAAAGGATAAAAACCCTCTCGAAGAACAGTTAAAAATACCCTGCAAAACAAAACAATATAAAAAACAACAATAAATAAAATTTTTATTTTACAAACTTATTGCCTTTTTGACTTTATTGGAGGGTCATTTTTTAGGAGGGTCAGAGTATCGCCTGAGTTCCAACAAGGTTGGATATTGTGGTTTGTTTCAGGCTTTATTTGAAAGTTTTAAGTTACGGAAAAAGGAGCAGTTAGTGTTAGAAGAATGAATTATTTAAGATCTTTTTTCCAGTCAAGTACCAACTTTTTCATTCTCGAATTCTGTGAATACGGCTCGTTGGAAAAATTGCTTAAAGAAAATGGTGTAGTACCTATGCATAAACAGCATATCGCGAAAATTTTACATGGAGTTACTGCAGCAATCTACTTCTTACACTCGTAATTTTTCCTTTCTCGAGAAAAAAGATGGCTGAGATTCTTTTTCATTGATAATATTTTATTGTAATAATTATCAGCCTTCCGTAAAATTCAATCCGGATATCTTACTGATATGTGTCGTCAGTAATGGTTAGATAGTGCATGGAAAAATATTTGCCCACATATAAATAAACAAACCTTTTTATAATTGTGATTAAATAAGG